TCGGTGTCATCGCCACCACCACCTTCTTTCGAAACACCATCATTCGGGGCATCACCGTTTGAGGTTGGCTTCACATAGCCAACAGGATGTTATTGGCAAGTTGAGAGTTCAGTCCTTCACATCTTGACTATCACAGTCTTTCGCATTAATGTTCACCTAGATTTTTATCCTTCTCGATATAATTGGCAAGTTGAGAGTTCAGTCCTTCACATCTTGATGTTGTACTCAAGCCAGCGAAGAACTTCGAACGCAAATATGCATACCCCCATTCATGTCTTTGATCAAATAAATTGGAGACCCAATTGTTGTGCTGAAGGGAGCATTCCTCAACCACTGATTTCCATTTTTCTTCGAATTCTGAAGGTTCCCAATCAGCTGACACAAAATGCTTCCATCGGGGCAAAAAAGTAGGATGATTCTTCACATTTCTGGTTATAGTCTTGTCTATATGCCAGGAACATAGACGATGTGTTGCATCGGGAAATACTTTCTGAATAGCATTACGCATTGCTCTATCCCCATCTGTAATAACAGTCTTGGGATCTACACCGCCTAGCCTTCTCTTCAAAGCTCCCAACACCCAAACATAATTTTCCTCTCTCTCGTTAGCCAAGAAAGCACATGCAAATACGCAAGTTTGCGAATGGTGGTTAACACCTAAAAAAGTTCAAACAAAGTTAGATATGCAAACTTCTAGGGTTATTTTAGCATGCTCGGGATAATTCTATGTGTGAAGGAAAAGTACCTGAAAAAATCACGAGAGGCATATGGTAAATGTTCCTTTTGTAAGTAGCATCGAATGACAGTAATTCTCCAAAGCATGCATAATCAGCAACAGAAATACTATCGGCCCAGAAAATGTTAATAAGCCGGTCGTCGTCATCCTTCGTTAGTTCAATAACGAAATGCTCGTCCGCGCTGCATTTAGCTTGCAGGTAGGCTAGGGATGTTGCGGCATCACCTTCACTGATTTGTTCTTTCCTCTCTTTGTCCACATAATTATATGCATCCTTCCTCGTGTACCCCAAATTGTCGTAGCCTCCTGCTTCTGATACGGCCAGATTCACAATTTGAGAAGTTTTCATACCTGCAGCTCTTCTAAAATTTATCGCTGCTTTGACTGCATCACTCATACGACGTTTCCCTTTCATGTAGTGTCTATATTCTCTGGGGATCGTTTCATGTGTGTGTACATCATCAAACTGGTGCACATACCACTTCCCATCGACATTGTCTTGTTTAACACGCATCTTGGCTCTGCAGTTAAATCTGGTCTCCCCTCTTGCTTCTCTCTTTCGTTCTGTGCTCTTCACGCGCCTCTTTCCCTCGCCAGAGCATACATAGTCACGCCATATCATAACTTTGTTCTTATCATGACCAATGTCTGATTTTCTGATGTCGAACCCGTAGTCCATGTAGAAATCATAGGCTTCTTCTGTATCATCGAACTTCATTTTTTTAATATCTTCAGGCTGTAGAAATATGAGATCGGCAACATTATCATCCTGGGTGGTGTCACTGGCTCCGGCACCAGCGTTTTCTTGGACTTCCTCCGACGTCAATACTAGGACTTCCTCCGACGTCAATGGTGAGTCTGCCGCCGACGTCATTGTCACTGCTGGAAATTTTGGGGAACCAAGGACGTAGATTACAAAACCCTACTGGGAATGATGGCCAAATTAATGCTTCAATGGGCCACTTAATAATTATCCCCATTAATAACACGATTTGTGATATCTTATATTTTTGGTAGGAACGAGTTGAACTTTCTGTTCTTTATCTTAGTGATTTCTTTACCATTTTCACAAATAACGAAAATATTTAAAATGAAAAACCTTTCTTAGTAAAGCCAAACGCCAGCTGACTCTAGTTGTGTACTACATGTATGGGGAAGGATCAAATATTAATATGAGCGAATATTTACTAATAGCACTCAATTCTTTATTCGATCGAAAAAAGTATATTTTTAATTTTAGGTTTAATAACTACCCATGTTTATCCCAAGTTCATGTACCTTAGACTAAACCCTAACTATTTTTCCGCGGGAAAAATATGGCGCCACAATTTATCCTAACCTTGTATATATAATTAACCTTCATCGGTAGAGCAGTGGTTCCATATCCTTCTTTGCCGCGATTTTGAGTACAGAGTAAAGCTTAGATTAGAGGCACAACATGGAAAATAAGAGAATTACTCGCTCTTCGTCCAAGCTTGTGGTATGTATAATAGCTCTTTTTACCATTGAAATTCATTCTAGTTAATTTATTAATCGCAGGTTCACTGTCATTGTAGGAGACAGCCGAATTTGTGACTCCAACAAAGAAACCAAGGATACCCAAAGGTGTAAGCACTCCACCCACTCCTACTTCAGTCATCGTTTTTATTTCGGACGATGAATCTGACTCCGAGGTCACACCAAAGAAGCCAAATGGAAAAAGTATTTGTCTACCTTCTGTTGACAAGGTAATAAAGGTGTCATGTTTGCCATTGAAGTGTTCTTTGCCGTTATTCCGTCATAACGAATGCATTTCCACTCGTGTTTATTTGTGGCCCCTATTCCAGGTTGTTTTGAAGTTTAAGCTACCTACCGCTATGGAATACGATGATGAGCAAATCCAGCTTGCTCACTATATATTTTTAGCCCATCTGCCACCTGAGGAAGTATTGGTCAAAACCTCTAACAACTCTTGTACGAGGAAGTCATTGTGGTCCTTAAGCCCTCGCTCATTCGTAGATGCTGAAGTAATCAACGGAACTCCAAAATTTTGTTTTGTTTGTCCACTATCAATGCTTTCTACGTAGAATTATTTTATAACAACTCGATAGTATCATGAAGTGTTTTTTGTCCATGTTATATTAGGTTATAACAACGATGGCCTGCCACTTGACTCTAGAAGAGTTGTGGACAAATTCCAAGGACGGAAAAGGAGTGTGCTATCTGCCTGCTGAACTACAGGTTGTGGTCCGATTATACTTAATGACAATTTCCTCTCACCAAAAAATTACAACACATGTGTTTTTAACGTGAGTCATATTGTGTTGACAAAATTTCAATTGTGCAACTACCACATGGGCAGGAACTAGTGATTTCATGTGGAATAACACCCAAGAGGGCATTAGACCTATACGAATCAAAATTCCTTAGTCGAACCAATATGGTGAACAAGGTAAACTGTTCGTCTTAATAAGTATTACATGGTTTGCAGTTTATTTTTTTAATACGTGTTGACAATTTCCGCATATGTAGGTGTGTGTTCCGATGAGAGATAATGCCCATTGGTACTTGGATGTCATTAAGTTGGACAAGGAAGAAGTCCATATCTTGGATCCACAACCAAATGAAGACCGCAATTCCTTTCGACTACAATCTGTTCAAACAATGGTAAATTTGTGACATTGTGCCGTTATAATGCAAAAAAATGTAAATAACTCTTTCTAAGTACAAACGTTTCTTAATTTGTACAGATGAGATTTATGCAAGCCTTGTGGAAGATTCTCTATCGTGAACAAGGTCCGGGATTGTCGCCACCAAGGATTGCGGAGTTTTCGTACCCAAATCCTTCAAAGGATCAAGAACAACTTCGTCGGTAAGTATGCCCATTTTTTTGTGATATTAAACGCGACTTATCAACTTGGTTCTTATCACGCAATGCTTTTATTTTATGTAGGTCTGACAGTGGAGTATGGGTATGCATGTGGATGTATGGCGCAAGCTGAGACTCCTCTTATATTTGGGTAAAGACAATTCTAATTCGCATATTAGAAAACCACAATTGATTGTTATTTTTGAATCATGCGGTAAGCACCATGTTTGTTGATGTTGATAGCCATGCACTCAAGTGAGGAGGATGCAGATCGCTTTGTACCTTGTTCGAGAGCCCATGAACTACATAAGGCATATGGTGGTCACGGAAGCAAGAAGAGTTGCACCTCAAGTTGAAGCTGCAGTGGAAGAGTACAAGAAAACCCATGAAAGGAGGAAAAAGGAAAGAGAAGAGCACAAGGAAACCCACTCAACGAGCCCAAGAACAACCTGATTTTTCGTTTTAGTTTGCAAGATGATGGACAACAGTTATGTTTTTTTTTCTCAGGATGATGGACAACCGTTTTTTATTTGGTTCGGTGAATGCTTTTTATTTTTGGTTTTTATATTTTGTTTTTGGTTTGGTGAATGCTTTTTATATTTGGTTTTTGGTTTGGTGAATGCTTTTTATGTTTGGTTTTTGGTTTGGTTTTTGGTTTAGTGAATGCTTTCTATATTTGGTTTTTGGTCTTTGTGAATGCTTTCTATATTTGGTTTGGTTTGGTTTGTTTTTTCGTGGAAATGGCAAAGGGACTTCACCAAAATTCCAGCTTCCAACTTGTGAGTGAGGCTGCTTCTGTTCAAGGCTTCAAGCCATTGTATCTTGTAGAGAGGTTTAATTGGGATCATGTATAGTTAAACTTATTGGCTCCCAATCGTATAATTAAATTTGCATTCATGTATAGGTAACCCAAAAGGTACAACTGATTGGCTCCCAATCAGTATAATTAATGACCAAAACCCGTACAAGGCAGATAGAAAATTCTTATGTAATTAATTTAATGTTCCTAGGATATGGAAAGGCTTCCATTCCTTGAATTTCCACCAACGATGTTTTCACTCCCCTTTTAGTCAGAGAATTCATTGTAGTATTAAATACAATAAAAAGGCTTACATAATTAATGGATTCTTTATTGTGTATAATTAAAAGAATATTTTACTATAAACGAAGCATGATAGATTCACAGGGGGGTAAAAGAAGCATGAGTCTTGATGAAAAAGGGGAAAAAATCACCATAGATAAAAAATCATTATACTCAAGCCATATCCATACTATTCACGCCTATCATCGTCAATATACTTGTGACCAAATATAAATAAAACCATAATTTTCGAAAACCATTAAAAAATGAAGATTAAATAAGTAACACATTCTTCGACATAATTGGAACTGCTTAGAACAAAAGCGGATTAAAATCTCCCACAATGAAATTCATTTGCAATTTCATAGGTAGTCCCCTACTTCCACTTCTATAATTTTGAGAAAAGATTGCAATTTCATCAATGGTCCCCACTCGTGGGCCAATTTAAATTGCAAGCAAATTTGCACCCTTGCAATAGCTTCTCACATCATAGCAAGTGTAGGATGCAATTGCACCTCCTTGCTTAGGGATGACCATTACTGCATCTCGTCACCTGTCTTAGGAAAATTAGCCATGGCAAATTCACAAAATACTGCATGCATAGAAAAATATTTGTCTGGATAATTAAAAAAATGGGAGACTTTCCTAGTCAGATGATGTACTGGCTCCCCTCAGTACCTGACAGTTTTGAGTGCTGGAGAATAAGACTGGAAAAAAAAAACCAACAAAGCCTAAGTAAACTTATTAACAAAAGACATCCAATGCTGGCCCCTTTGCTGCTCCAATGCTCCACCCCGCCCTGCATCAATCGACTCTCATGTAAGCCGAGGACGTTTGCTTGAGGATGCCTCAGGGTTCTCTTCATGCTCCGTATGCCGAAGATCAATAAAAGTATTGGTCAATTCGACGATACGGTAGACTGGCAAATAGGCGCACTGGTCCTCCTTAGCATAAACCCCCATATCCATCCCAACCCTTTCAAGAAAGGTGGTCAAGAAGGTGGCATATGGAAAGGCAGTGTACCAGTTTTCCCCTCTAGGAGCAGCCTCAACCATGTTCAGGCACATGAGAGATGCGAGGTTAACAGGAACACCTCTTTGAGCTTGCACAAGGATAAACAGGTCAAGTTTACGAATAATCGAATGACCACGGTACCTTGGCATGAAGCAGTTGACGATCATCCAGTGGAGGAATCGAAGAGGATCTGGGAGGAAAGAAGCCTGGATGCGCCCCTTCGTCAGTTTCTCCAGTTCAACTTCAAACTCAAAATCGTACAGCCGCCCGCTTCTGCTATCAATGGGGTGTCCTGCGGCGGGGAGATCGAGGATCTCAGCAAACTGATGAGGCTGGAAGCAGACTCTATAACCCAGGAAGATCGACACGAGATGAGAATCGCAGGGACCAGACAGCTCTAAATTGTGGTAGAACTTCCTCACCACATGCGGGCAGTAACTGGTGCTTCCTCGACTCCGGAGATCAATGAACTTTTCCCAGCCAAGATTTTTAATTAACTTCTTCACTTCTGCAGGGAAAGGACTCAGGTGGATGAACTCGTACTCGGCCATAATTGATGTCTTGCTTGTGAATGAAAGATAGTCCCCGAGACTTGGGGTGGATCGGCAGTCATCGTTTGAAAGAGATAGTATCCCCATCTCCGCAAAAGATTTACCTTTGTTTGCCATGGAGTCAGAGGAAGAAGGAACAAGGGAAGGTGAAGATGAAGGAAAGAGAGAATGTAGGTGTAAGAAAAAGTGATCGTGGGGGTTGAGTGTGGAGACGTGAGTGTGATGGAGACGGTTGAGTCTGGAATGTCAAGAGTTAGAAGATTTTGGAAGATATGTAGTAATGATGATGTTAACTCGTGTAGCTTAAACTAGGGTAAGTAAAGCTAGTTAAACTAGGGTTGGCGCACAAATTGATACTGCAGGAGAAAACAAATGGGCTCGCACGTTCCAGGCCCACTTTTGAATATTGCATGGGTCATGTACAAGCCCACGTTTGAATCTTATTTAAAAGCCTGCAAAAATCAATGATCAGACCTAGTCCAACTAGAATTACTCCTAAACGCACCGTTAATACATAAACACAAACTAAGGAGACCTCTCCATCCGATTCGAATCAAATTATGTGTTCTTCATCTTCTTCCTCAATCCTCTGGGCGAGACGAACACTACATATCAGGAAACCTAAATTTCACCGAGAGATATAAGGTTCGAGAAAATCACAATAACGCTAAGACAAGATGACAAAGCACTAGCGACATGAACCCTAGGGTTAGCAAACCTCTTTCAAGGGTTCTTTTGAAAATGAAAAGTTCGATGAACAAAATAATAGACACGGTCGCCGTAATCGTGTTAGAAAGAGATAGGCGAGGGGAAATAAAATGGCGAAGAAGAAACAAGACAAAATAAATTCGGAAATTCAAGCTACGTCGAATGTGGATGCAAGTAATTGGGATTCAAAAAGATGATTAAGTTGGGGAGTTCAAATTGGATGGGGAGCGTCTCTTGGAACTGTGAAGGGGTGTCCCTCCAAGACGAGAGAGGGATCGTGTAATTGGTTAGGGAGACTGGAAATTGGTTAGGGCGGCAGTGGGTCTACCCAATTGGGTTTGCAGTCTTAATCAATTTAATTTAATCGGGTCAGTTAGTTGGACTAGGATGAAAAAAAACTTAACGCGGCAAGAGCCTTTTTGTAAATTGTTTAGTTATTTAGTGCGCAGGAAGGTTTAACAAACGTGAACCGTGGAGATTGAAAACGAATGGTTAAGATCGGCCAAGGTACCCGTACCCGGATTTTGCCCTGGGCACCGTAGAAGTCACCTTATATATTTATATATATTTTAGGGAAATACTTAGCTGGAATTTGGTTAGCAGCGTGCTCCTGCTGCCAACCCAGGTGTCTTTCAATCATTTGTTGTTTTCTTATTTTCAATTATATTCTTATTCTATTATCTGCAACTTTTCCATATTGAGGTATTAAAATATTTTGTTTCCGCTGGACTCTATCCATTGACTAGTCGTCATTGTGATTGCTTCGCTGCTGATGGCCTGAAATTTTTTGCCGCAGGCGCCTGAAACTTGAAATACAGATCAGATTAGTCATTCTGAATTTGAGGATTTGTAACCTCCGATCGATTGTCAGCGGCAGCAGTTGACTAACCGTTATGACGCCATTATAATGGTGACAGAGGAGATGCTATAATAACTTCATAAGAGATTATAATGGCAGATTGTCGGTCGCCGGAGGTAGGCTAATAGAAATAATGATGACAGAGGAGATGCTATCTTAGGAGTTGTGTCGCCGTAGAGATCTCGACAAGTCGGTTGTCAAAATTAAGCCAAAGCTGCAAATAAAAAAAGGTAATTAAAAACAAAAATATTAGCCAATGGTTGGAAGCCACCTGGATTGGCAGCAGGAGCACGCTGCTAACCGGGATGCATCTAAGTATTTCCCTATTTTTCTATACTAGCTTAGTGCTCGGCCTTTGGCCGGGTGTGCTGCGGGTTTTTGTGTGAGTGGCCCACAGGAAGTGTATTTGGTCGAGTGTGCTAATTTTAATGGTGTCTTATGAGTTAGTTGAAACTTGTGTTAGATTGCTGTTCAGAATATTAGTTACAGATGATGTTATCAAAAAGAAGAAATTGATGTATTAACTTAGTACTGAAGAGTTTGGTCTTTACATTAAGAGATAATAGATTGTTATTTATTAATTTATAATAATATGCTTACATGAGCCTTACAACTTATTTATATACAACTATAGGCTTTTGTTCTTGTACACAAGGAACTGATAAATTTCTTAAATAGTAAACATAATAGTATCCTATAGGTAGTTATATATGGTGGATGCTTATGTTGAATGCGGATGGTGTCCATGGGTTGAGTTGTTAGTCGGAATCTGATATCACCAAAGCCCCCTTGCGCCTTTTGTAGTACTTGACTTCTGTAAACTTGTTGTTGTGGGGCTCAACAATGGCTTTGTTTTTACCTTTTCGGTTATCCTTTGTAAGTTCTGGCTCTGGATGTATTGCTTCCATTAGGCTGGTGTCTATATCAGTGTCTTCTTGCTGATGCGATTGGTCGGTGCTGCTGCTAGCCTTGTCATTTGCAGGGGCTTAATTTCCGGTATTTGGCTGCAAGAAGTATGCAATTTGTTATAATTAATATAAACCCACTTGTGTTTTAATTATATATGGCGAGTTCTACGGTACTCTCGGTGAAATTCGGGGTACCACATACCTTGAGTATGAAAACACTATCTAGACCTTGAATTAACCGATCTTTCGGACATGATACTATACTCTAACACTTAAAGATCAAAATCTAGGTGTTAACTCTCCCAATCTTATACTCCAAGATCAATTTAATTAGAAATAATAATCGACGGTTATAATTCATCCAAATATAGGCACAAAAATGAATGCACCATCTTGGGGTTTATAGATTATGATTTAGATAATTATGACCTAGGGTTCACTCATTAAGGGTTAGGGTATAATATCAGACACAAAAATCCTGGTAATTCGAGGTCTAGATAGAGTTTACATACTCGAGGTATGCGGTACCCCGGATTTCACCCGGGGTACCATAGAAGCCACCATATATATATATATTAGTTGGGTTGTGACTTTAAGGAATCAATGATCAGCCAAATACCTTACTTTGGACATGGGAAGATGGTTCATTAAGCTTCATGTTGATTATAATTGTTAAGATTATATGTTAACGTCGTCCCTGTCTTGGGTTGTCCTTAATTGTGAGGATGGTCTGTTGATTGATTTCTGTCACTTTTGTGACTGTGTATGTGATTGAGGATTGCTGGATGTTGTAGCTGCTCAATTTGAGTTTAAACTTCTTTGTCTTACCAATGAGCAGTGATACATGTTTTGGTGGGTTTAGCATGTCATTGTTTTTGGCGTCAAGGAGTTGTTCTGCTGTGGTGTTGAAAATCTTTCTACCGGTATGATCAATAAGGACAAAGAATGATGTTCCTATTGTGTCCTTTACTGAAAGAACAATTCTAAACCTGGTACATAGTACTTTTCTCTGTTAGATGTAATATAGTTTGTGGAAAATAGAGTGAAGTGGATGTTGTGGTATTTCTATTGTACCTTGGAACTCCATGGATGGTAGTAATGTTGCACTGCGGACACCAGAATTCAAGCTGGCCAGATGGCATTTTCTTTGGGCAATTGGAGCAAATGTAGTAACACCAATCTTCCAAGACATCTTCAACTTTGGAAATCACCTCGTAGTTATTTCCCTAGTGGATATGAGATTCAATCAAGATATTGTTGCATTAAAATTAAGAATTGTGAATTTAAATGTGCAGTGTTGTTAAATGTACCTCATTGGCCATGATTTCTTTTGCTACTTCTATTTCTGCTATGGTCAGTTGGGGAGGGTATTCTTGGTCTGGAATATTATATTGATTGGGGGTTCAATAGGTGTTGCCATTGCCGGTGGTGGAGCATTTTCCGGCAGAATATTAGGAATATTCAGATTGCCATAGATTCGTGTTACTGTGGTGGATGAAAGGAACTTGTGACCTGCATAAAATGGTAATAATGTTTTTTAGTAAATTCTCTATTATATTGTCTAAATTTGAAATCATCTTATGTTTAGTGGAAGTAGAGGTCTGCTTCATACCTTTATACTCTTTGTCAACCACAGAAGTGATTATAAGAAGTATTGGTGCGTTAGGATTGGTGTCGATAATTTCATTGAATTGCTCAATAATTTCTCCCCATAATGTAACTTTTATTGTGTCTCCCCTGAAAGTCATTTTTCATAAAGTGCATCTTGTTTTATTCATTTTTTACAATATGATATCAACAAAAAAAGTAAGAGAGTTTGGTTTTACTCTGGGAGGCCAAGCTGAAGTTCTCTTCTAACTGTTCTATTTGTGCCGTTGGAATGACTTGCGGTTGTTGAGTACTCCATAAGGCGTCCAAAGGCATCTACATAACATTGTTCAAAACAATTACCACATGTTTTGCTTTATAATAATCCATATAGATTGCTAACGTAGACTCACCACTTACTATAGTCGTGTAGTTGCATTTGTGGGTCAATTCAGAATTCCTTAGGAAGCGAAATTTGTAGCGAGGCATGTCATCAAAACCTGTGGCTGGATGTATCATTGTTCTGGTGGTGAAGATGATTGTTAAAGGATTATCAGTTGGCTGATAGTCTCCCTTGCTTTTACTCACCGTAAAATCATTGATGAGATAAATGTTCTGTTCTTGTAGTTGAGGTTGTATTGTGGCTATGAGTGGTCTGGGCACTTGTGCTAAGATGTCATTTCCCTGTGGAGAGATGTAACGTGAATATCATGTTTCTAAGTTGTGCGTCTGCAGAGAATGTGTGTAAGTTGAAAGGTTAAAAAGTATTACCTTCTCATCAATTAAGATGATATCCAGGCGCATGAGTACTCTGGTTTTGATGTTAATGGCTTCCCACATTCTAGAGACCCTCGAACGAATTGTGCCGTGAAACGGTCCTTCTTGAAGGTTATCGAGCAAAGTAGAGCCCATTGCTCTGGAACATAACAGACAGTTTGAAGAGTTTGGAGTGTTCCTTGGTATAAAGGGAAGATGATTGGAGGGTTTGGGTTCGGCAATTTTGCAGGCAAAGAGTGGCAGAGTTTTTGTGGGTAATTGTTTCTGATATGACTCCGATGATTGAATTGTCGGGCACAATTCCTCGCCTCTGGGCAACTGGGACGACCCTTTAAATAGAATTTCATGGTTGGCGCAGTGATTATCTGGGTGCAGTTAATTTTTAGTTCCAAAAGGCAGAGAAGAAGCGTTGATCTAAGTTTTTTGAATATGATTCGTTTGAATGATGCGAGGGGGTGTCTTTGTTGGAAGGAGTGGATAAGGAGTAGCAGTTGATGCTGTGTTTGTGGAGATAGGGTTGGCCGCTTTTGCTTCTTGCGGGACGATGACTTAACTCCGATTTGTACTTTGTTGCTGATCGATAATTTTTGGTGGGTTGTGTATTGTCATACGAATTTGTCCCATCTGATAGTACAAAACGTTTTTTTAGGAAGATAATACAAAACGTTTGTAGCCAAATCATTTTCAATTTTGGTAAATAATACATACTTGGAAAATTTCAAAAAATTAGCATTGGCAAACCTAATACGCATTAGAAATTTATATAAATTTTCGCGGCAATTGGTGTGAAGGTTTGGTCACATTAAGACATGCATCTAAATTTTTCCCTTTTTTTAGGTTTTGGAATGCAAGTACCAAGTTAGCGTGTGGGTGGTTTCCTTTAAATGGAAAAAATGTATAGAACTCGTATAACACGTTTAGCACGCATATATATTCCATATTTGATGTTTCATGTTGTATAATATCTTAATTCAGATTTGAATTATTAAACTCCTAAAGCAATAAAACATACTGAAACTATATTTGTAACCATCTATAAACAATAGAGCTGTTTTTTTAATAAAGCAATCCAACTTATGATCATATGACTTGTATCATCGATAAGCATCCAACAACAAACATAGTGTTCAACATCAAATATAAGTGTATCCTTTATAAACAAACCATTGACGAAAGTCTGACCATAATTTATATGAATTAAATGACAACAGATTACATAAAACTAATAGACCAAAATATTCATAATAGACCAAATTACATGGATGCATTGTTCTCTATTAATGTTAGTTTCATTATAGGTTAAAAATTAGACCACCTAGAAACGAGAATGAAACTAACCTGAATAATTAAGAAGCATGCTAAACATCTATGTATGCAAAGTGCAGGGAACTATTAAACCATGGGCAGAATCAGTGGCGGACCCAGGATTGCCGGAGAGGTGTGTCGCCGATAAAATAAAATAATAATTAAATTAAAAATTAATTAAAAATTAAAAGAAATTAATTCATAAAGTTCATAATGTCATGTTTACAACGAACCGCGATGACTTTTCATCTGCTGAAATGTCTCTAAAATACATTCATCACTTATGCTGCAAAGCAAATCTTTTTCAATATACACAACTAAACAATCATTCATAAATTGGTCACTCACCCGATTTCGAAGATCATTCTTGATTATCTTCATAGCTGAAAATGCTCTTTCGCAGCTTGCAGTTGCCACAGGTAAGGTCAACACCAACTTTAACAGCAAGTAAACTAAAGGATAAAGAGTGTCATTTCCCCTTTCCACCAATTTCCTAGCTAGCTCGTCGATTCCTCGAAATCCATCAAAGCTCTTATCCTCCTTGACATGAGAAATGTAGCCCCCAATTGTTGATGAAGTCGTGAGAGCACATTGGATGGAAACTCCTCGGGATAAAACTAAGTAAGACTTATCAACTTTGCTTTATCAAAAGAAGCAAAAGAGTTAGCTGGACTAAAACAAGAAATGCAGTCCAACAATCGAGTGTTCACCTCACCAAATCGAGTATT